ACGGTGAGGCGGGGAGGGGGAACAAGCCACTGGCTACTCTGCTACCTTACAGATACTTTGAACTTATCTTTTGTTTAGAGCCACAGGGCAAAGTCTCAACATGAAGTATCCATAACTACAAACAAGACAAGGTAGAAGGCCATTCTTTATTTTCCATGATCAGTTCACATTTGAAAGGTTCAAAGTGTGTGAATTACATTTGACAAATCATAGTTACATTTTAATTGGTAGGTACTCAGTGAAGTTTGAGGACCACCGTTATGGATAGACTGATTCCCCATAATCCATCACATCCAGTCCATCTGGCTTTCGGGGCTTTCTAGATTTCCCACACTTTACTTTGTTAATCTTTCCTTCTGTAGGGGTCCCCTTGGTCCCATTGTCTCCTTACTGTCTGCTAGGCTAGACCCACTGCCAATACCATCCTGCCCTGTGCGTGTGGCTGTTTTCCTAACTGGATTCTTCCTTTCCCTTCCCTATAAACTCTCCTAATCCTTCAGCATGGTCTCATCAAGTCTTACCTCCTGTAGATTTTCTCAGGCTATTCTAATAACACTGACTTCTCCCTATGTATGGGGCATTGTCACTGTGCTAGCATTTGACATAGATGGTTGCTAATTCTCAAACTACTCCCTGAAGTCATTACTGCAGTCTCTCTACTCAGTGAGATTAAGTGACATCCCAGCGATCTTACAACTAGTGTGCAGCAAAGCTGGGTATCAACCTCCAGGCCTGCCGACTTCAAAGCCCTGGCCCCTTGTACCACTCCACGCTGCCTCTTGCTCACATTCCTCTTCTCTCGACCCTTTTTATCCATGGTTGTACATCTGGCTCTGCACCTAATTGTTTCTTGTGTATTCACTGTCACAGAGCAAGTGGAATAAAGCTCCTTGAAGATAAGGACTTATCTCACTCTACTTTCTTACCCTGGAGCAGTGGTTCTCAACCTTCCTAATGCCACGAACCTTTAATACAGTTCCTCATGTTGTGGTGACCCCCAATTTCATTGTTACAAATTGAATATCATTAAAGCATAGTGATTAATCACAAAAACAATATGTAATTATATATGTGTCTTCCGATGGTCTTAGGCGACCCCCGTGAAAGGGTCGTTCGACCCCCAAAGGGGTCGCAACCCACAGGTTGAGAACCGCTGCCCTAGAGCTTAATAAGTATCAATCCTGTAAAAAGTATTAAATGTTAGAAAGAATGAAAATGTGATTTGTAATAGGAACAATCACTCCGTTTCTTTTTTTTTGAAAATCTGAAATCTTTATATTGCCTCAAATATGTTTTGTTTTGCTTTATTGAGTAATTTTTATTTGATATTATCCTTGTTAGTAGCTAGAAGTCATAGAAATAAAAACCAGTATTCTTATAGAGAGTGGAGTAATGGAATAGGGAATCTCAGGTCACGATAAGAGGAAATTAGGAAGAGAAGATGACTAAAAAGTTTCTACCTTTCAATCCTAAGTATAAAGATGGGGTCCATTTTTTTTATCCCCAAAAGACATAGAAAAAGGGATTTGGGGTGAGCCCGTTGGAGGAAATCCCCCACAAAGTTCACAGGTAAGGCTACAAACAAACCAAGCTATAAGAAAACAACAAGGAAATGCCAAATAATTGCTGCTACCCAAATGATGACAAGTTTCTATTCAATATGGTAGTACTTTTTCTACTTTACCACTGAACTTTCTGATGAAAAATATTTCTGAGCACAACAACACAAAACTGCTGTCATGTCAACCCCTTAGTCATAGATTAGAAATACATTAAACCATAAGACCACTCTGTAACTTAAATAGCCCAGAACAACAGTTTTACTGGTTACTGTGTATGTACAGTTCTGTATGTACCTGGAGTCACTGGAGTTTCAACCCCAGCCCCCTCCCCATGCCCTTACTCTGGTGAGAACACTGAGGCTCATCAGCTTAAGAAGGAGCAAGAAGCAGGAACAATCCCCATGTTCAGGAGTTGGCTGTATACATTTACCACCTCCTACCCTCTTCCCTCCCTAAAATTGTAGGGACTATGCTTGCATCTTTTAGAATACCTAGTAAATGTAAAAGGGCGATTTACCACTCAAATCACTAGGGTAAAGTTCTTTCTCTAGTGTTAAGTAAAGTGTGAAGGGAGTGAGAGCTTCTATGTATCAGCTACACATCAGCTTCAAAAGAAATATGTAATAGCATAAACCTGAAATTCCTTTTCAACTCGGTTCATTTCCTCCAGCTCTTTGCATCCAAGCAAAACTGCAGGGCAGACATTTTAGGTATGACTCTGCTACACCCAGCATAAACTACAAGGAATAGGCAAAGGTTTTTTTCTCTGAAGACTTAATAGTTCATCTCCCATCCTGGCCAGGTAACTCAGTTGGTTAGAGCATCGTCCCCATAGTCCAAGGTTGCAGGTTTGATCCCCAGTCAGGGCATATACAAGAACCAACTCATGAATGCATAATTAAGTGGAACAACAAATTGATGTCTCTCTCTCTCTCAAATCAACTTAAAAAAAAATTCATCTCCCTCTCCATAGACATTAGTCCACATACTTACCATTGCAGTATTCATTCTGAATGATCATGTGGTCATCTTCTACCCAGGCAGAGTAGTAACGTACCACATGGGGGTGATGACCAAGTACCGCATGAGCATACACTTCATGCAAAACCGAATTCCTGAGAGATAGAAAAGCATTGAGGAAAATGAATCAGGATAATATGCATGCAAATGTTTTTTGAAAAGACAAGATATGGCTCATTATTAACAATGGCAGAACGCTTATTGAATGCTCACTACTTGCTTATTATTTCCCCCCTAATTTTCATAATGATGCAGTGAGATCCAGTGGCAAGGATAAAGGATTTAGAAAGGTCAGTGAATGGTCCAAACTCAAGCAAGTGATAGTAGACCTCGGACTAGACCCTTAGTCATCTTGACACCCAAGTACACGTTTTTTTTTTTTATTAAGCATGGCACAAATAAAGAGGAGGCTTAAGTGGTGCTACCTCAACAGCAGACGTGCTTTGGATCTTTATTTTACTGTATCATATTAAAATATCGTGATGGGCTTCACAAGAAGGCCACCATGGACTTGATTGTGGTAATTGTCATGAGCCGTCTGTCTTCTCTATGAAGGCTAGAGAGTCAGAGTCAATATTAAACTCGCCAATATGTAGTGAGGGGACACTCTTGGAAAGAGATATTTATAGTGGAACACGAAATCCAACCCCAAAAAAGCAAAATACAGTATTTGGTGAGTTTCAGTATAAAAATGATGAATTCTAGCCTGGCTATTGTGGCCTAGTGATTTAGTATTAACCTATGAACCAGGTCACAGTTTGATCCCTGGTCAAGGCACATGGCCAGGTTGTGGGCTCAATTCCCAGTAGGGGACATGCAGGAGGCAGCCAATCAATGGTTCTCTCTCATCGTTGATGTTTCTATCTCACTTTCCCTCTCCCATCCTCTCTGAAATCAATAAAATATATTTTAAAAATGAAAGTGAAAATGAAGGATTCTAAAATTGATAATTTCAGATTTGGCATAAGTATTACATCCCCACAATTAATAAAAAACAAACAAACATTTTTTGAAAATGTTTGTTATCCGTGTGAAAAGGAAGAACAATTATTTCTGGGAATGAAATTTAATTCTGTTAATTTTTCCTTCCTTATAGTCCTTGAAACTTGACTATAAAATTCATTATTAATGCAAAGTAGAGATAAACCATGGAGTTAACTACTTGGCAATATTTCTGATGAACTAAACAAAAACCATAAGATCATTCCATAAATTTACTAATTATTAAAAAGAAGTAAGACCAGTAGTAAAAGCCACAAAAACCACACACACACACATACCACAAAATGACCTGAAATGATCATGGTATATTTTAAGAAATAATTTACATCTGATATGGAAAACTCAGAAAGGTTATAAAAGTGAGACAACATACAATGGAGGGGGTGGGGTGATTTTTAAAAAGTAGTAAATGTTTTTTTTAATGACATCAGTGCTATTATTTAAAATATTTTGACAAGAAAAAGCTTTCCAAATCCAAGTTTGTGCTTCTAGCACATTTCAAAGGTACTCACTCATTTGATAATTCTGCAAAAGAGTTCGTGGAGCGTTTTATTGCATAGACACATCCATCCAGCCTCTTAATGCACTTGTAGACTGTACCAAATTCCCCAACTCCAATCTTTTCTACCTCCATGAATTCTTTTTCATAACGGGAAGTCATGTTGGTTTCTCGTAGAACATATCTCTGAAATATTTTAATAAAAAGGTTAAAATAATCCTTCCTAACATGTTATGAGCAATAAAATTGAGGCATATTATATTTCTATATTTCTCTAAGTTTTCAAGAAGACTTCTGGGGCAAATCCATTGGATTTTATCTGTGTTGATAGTCATGGTACCAAGAACCTCCCCAGTTGCCGACTACCTTCTCTGCACTATATTTTCCTATCTGATCATAATATTCTTATCCGTGTGTTCCTAGAGGGGATACTTCTACTCACAGCCAGAGCTACCTTACCGTCCTCAGGTGAAGCAGTGACTGGGAGCTGGGTAGGGCATGTTAGGGAAAAACACAAAACAACCTCCCTTGACAGTAGTCTACAGGTCTCACACTCTGGCTGTTAATTATCTCAAGTTGAATAAACATACTTGGGTTCAATTTGCTTCCTCAAAAATCTTAGTCTGGAAAACAAAATTATCAAATTTATTATTTCAGATTATATGCTCAGATATAACAACCACTCCTCCTATTGGCCAAGTCGCAACATCACTGATTGCCCAGCTAGTAAATAACCTCAGGCAAATCATTGAATTTTTAATCATTTTTCTCATCTCTATGAACTTCATCAGGTTCATAGCAACTACTCCTCAGGGTTCTTTTAAATACTACTCAAGAAAAGTTGTGTGTGTGTGTGTGTGTGTGTGTGTGTAACAGTACAATGCCAAGTACATAGTAATTTCTCAGTAAACGGTGGCTCTGATTTCCATAAATTTATATGAACCTCAATCTACACTGATTTAGCTCCACAAACCCAACATTTTTCTAGTGTCTCCATAAGCATGAACTTTTAAATCTAACATTAAGTTTTAAAAATCTTGACTCTTACTTGCACTTCATTTTCAACATCCAATATCAGTCAGTCTTCATCAGTAAGATCTATACTTTCCATTGCCCTTAGCCAGTCTCAAGCTCTGTTTCCTCCATGTCTGGATTTGCTGTAGCAACCAGCCCTCTCTCCATCTCCTCTAATAGTAAGAATTATTTTTGAAAAATGACCCTGCAGAATAGGAAACACCTCATTGTTTCCCACGAGGATTCCAAACTTCTGATCAGAGGCCTCAAGGCTGTCTACCAGTCGCTCACCCACTCCCTTCCCATCCTCATCTCAGACACCTTATAGGCCAGCTTACCATCCACATCATTCCCCAACCTCAACCCTTCTCCTTCTCCTTCACCTTTTGCTTGCTGAACATTAAACATAGCCATGTTTTCATGATAAAGATCTTAATGGCAATGGAATATTCCCCTCACTTTAAACTGTAATTTGCTTGGCCATTCTATTATTGGACATTTAGTACTCTCTCCTCTTTCATTTTATTTACTTTTTTTTTGCTCTTATAAGTCTGCAATAAACACTTCTGTGATAATATTTTCAGCATTATTTTCTTAGGTTAGATTATCAAATGATAGATATTGGATCATAGATTGTGAACATTATAAAATCAATAGATACTGACATATTGAAGAACTAAGATTTTTATATATAAAAGTGGTTTCATGCCATTTTTCTCTGTTCTATTTTTCTATTTTGGGACCTTAAATATCTTGATTTTTCCTTCACTTCTCTACCCTATGAATACAGAACTTCCCCCCAGATCAAAGACAGAAGCATTAACCTTTCATATACAAATACTCCAAAGTAATGATTCAGCAATAATGATTCAGCATATATCATACAATGTCTGGCAAAGTTAATAACTAGCTAGCCTTGGCCAGGTAGCTCAGTTGGTTAGTGCATCATCCCAATATGCTAAGATTGCAGGTTCAATTTCCAGTCAAGGCACATAAAAGAATGCATAAATAAGTGGAAGAACAAATTAATGTTTCCCTCTCCCCCTTCCTCTATAAAAAATAAATAAAATAAAGTAACAACTAGCTAATAATATAGACCCTGATGAGAGTCCAAATAAATTCATCTGCAAAGCAATTTGCTACAAAGTGCTGGGGGTAGGGGGTGGAGTGAAGAAAGGAAGGAAAAAAAAGAGGGAGGGCGGGAGGAAGAGAGAGAGGACAGAGAAGAAAAGGAGGAGACAGAGGCAGGAGAATGAAATGACCGTTATGATAGCTGGGCCACAGAACTGTGCTCACCTTGGCAGGCAGCCCTTCTACTTTGCCTTCCCCCGGATCAGCTTCCTCGCTTAAAAATAAAAAAAAAGTGATATCAACACATGATCAGGATTAGCACTTAGTGATCCTGGTACCATGCTGGTTTCTGGGGCCATGAGACTAAATAAGACAATTCCTTCCCTTTTTCAATTTATATTTGGGGACAGGGAAAAACAGAAATTTTAATATGAGAACCCAGGTGAGGATAAGAGCAAGATATTAAGGGATACACAGACAGCATCCAATTAATTATTTCAAACATAAAAGTATTTCCCCAAAGAGAGGATATGTAAGCTAGGCTTCCAAGAATGAGTCAGAACGAGATAAAGGAAAGGAGCGGGGTTTTAGGCAAATAGGACAACGTCTGCTGAGAATCAGAGGCAGGAACGCACACAGACAAAACGTGAAACTGTCAGTGCTCTTCACTGCCACCTACACATTCTCCTTCCACCTCCCCCAGAACCTGGCTGTGCACCTATGAGGGTCCTGATAAACCAGAAATATAGCAGAAGGAGCTCTGACCCTGGCTAAGATATTGTTGATGACCTTCTTTAAAAAAATAAAATATTTTTAAAGAAACATTTTTTAACTACATAGAATTTAGAAACCTTAAATAACAAAGAATGTCAGAAACAATACACAAAGATTAAATAGAAATTATAAAACAAAAAAAAACAAAAGTTGTTGTAAAAATCTCAACTCTCCTAATCTATGAGTGTAATGCCAAGCTAATAAAAATACTAGTAGGTTAGCTGAAGTCTCCGACAAACCTCTTTGGCATGAGCAGTTGCATCCTGAATCTTTAAGCAAGATTTTAGGTTCTATCTTGCTTTCAGCCAAGCTATAGATTTTTCTTCTGGAGAAGTACAGAGTATTAATGGCAAATGGAGGGCATCACACTTGTGGAAATAAATTGATACTTGCCATGTGTGACCTAAATTGGATATGACATTTGAAACTTTATTAAATACAATAAGAAAAATGCCCTCTCAGCACTAAGCAACATTACTAAAGTGTCGCCAATTTTGTTGCCAGGAATTCAGATGAACTGTCTAGTCCGGCTGGCTTCAGTGCAAGTGAAACCACAAATTCTGATGACTTACAAATACTCCTAAGCAGCTAAAACCAACAGAATTCTTGGTAACAAAAGTGGGTGGTTTACTTATGCTGAAGTCCTGTTTACTTAAGATCCAGGAGGCAGTGTTGAGAAAACCTATTCTAGGCCTAAGGCTGGTTAATATATAGTCATTGATCCCCAAAGAAACAACTTAAGGTAACACATTAAATGCTCTGCAAACTTCAGATTGCTAGCTGTGCATTTATTTTGCCAAGTACATTATCAGGCACAGAGACTGGCTCATTTTAGAGGTGGTTTCTTTCTATGAAAAAGGAGCCTTGGGGGGACATGGTAAAGAAATGTCCCTGCATGAGGCACACAGTGGTGCCGTTTGGCTTTTACCACTTCTGAAAGCAACACTCTTCTCTTCAGCCAGTCTTCCAACACCTGCAGAGAAGTTCAAATCCTTGCCCCACAGCTCTCATCACCAGTCAGACAAGCTGGACTAGACACAGTAACAGACTCTTTGAAGTGTGAACTGTACTTTCCCCAACTGCGAACCTTCTGTTGACCACAGGAGACCCCTTGAAGGCAATTCCACAGCCCATTTAACTTCCTAATGGAAGTCAGAGGTCTGCTGTCCTTTTATAGAAGGCACCTCACAGTACACTTCAGGATGGAAAGATGCTAGAATCTCTGTGACAACCCACGCAAGGGGAAACCAACATTGACATTCAGAAAGGAGGGGATATGTAACCAATGCCAGGTTCCTTCTAAAAGAGTTCTTGCTCCTAATCTCACTTCAACATTCTCTCTTCCTCTTGACCATAGTAAGATCAGTTCTCAAAAATCACTGGCCACGGTATACTTACAGATCTCCTCGGATTTTCCTCTTGCCACTGGATTGACGGAACTCTTTTCTATAGGACTCTGGGGTGAAGGGATTAATATTAACCAGAGCTAATGAGGTCATTTCATCTGTTACGGAGACAGGTGTGAGCCTAAAATGCTTAGAGCCTCGGGAGGGCAGCTTCCCTGTTGAAGAAATCATGGACTGGCTTGGCTGGCCCTGAGGATGACATAAGGCAAATCAGGATGATGCTAGTTAAAAAAAAAGTTCCATACCAGTGAGCTAGTTAATATTTGAACCAAAGACTGTTATTGATGAAAGGGGACTTGAACGTTACCTGGTTCAGTGCAAACTAGTTGCTTCATAACTGGTCCTCTGGTGAGAAATACAGATTCCCAGTCTACCACTAGATATTCTGATTCATGGGACCCACACAGAAATCTACTGTCATTACACTCCCCCTCTTTCCCCTAGGCCAGTGGTTCTCAACCTTCCTAATCCCGAGACCTTTAATACAGTTCCTCATGTTGTGGTGACGCCCAACCATAAAATTATTTTCGTTGCTACTTCATAACTGTAATTTTGCTACTGTTATGAACCGTAATGTAAATATCTGATATGCAGGATGTATTTAGGCGACCCCTATGAAAGGGTCGTTCGACCCCCGAAGGGATCACGACCCACAGGTTGGGAACCGCTGCCCGAGGCACTTCTGATCACCAGCTTGGAAAACCACCAAATTGAGTCCCACCTCCAACTTGTTAAGGATGACATTTAAGCTCAGACAAATGAAAATGACTTTAGGAGACCTGGTCCTTACATTTCAGACTGTGCATGTTAACGCCCCCACATTCATTTATCGAAATATGTGTTTGCTGCTTACTAAGTAGCTGACTCTGAGCTGGGTGCTGTGAGGGGTGCAGAGATGAATTCCAGCTCATAAATGGTCCATTAAGTAGCTGTTCATTGATGTTTCTCTTTGTAAGGGAAAGATTTCATAGACTCAACAGGGAGGAAAATATTTCCAATTCCTCTTAAAACGTACGCACCAAATGAGAAGAGCTCCATTAAGTGGGGTTAAAAAAAATAAAAAAATGGAGAAGTAATGCTCTAAGCCAGCCGTGGGCAAACTACGGCCCGCGGGCCAGACCCGGCCTGTTTGAAATGAATAAAACTAAAAATAAAAAAAAATAAAAAAAGACCGTACCCTTTTATGTAATGATGTTTACTTGGAATTTATATTAGTTCACACAAACACTCCATCCATGCTTTTGTTCCGGCCCTCCGGTCCAGTTTAAGAACCCATTGTGGCCCTCGAGTCAAAAAGTTTGCCCACCCCTGCCTAAGCACTTGGGCGCGAAGGCTTTGCAGTGGCTTTAATTAGTACGTCAATGAGAAGAAAATGTGCAGGACTTACCACTCCACGTAGGTTACAGTAAGAGAACACAGGCCTAAAACCTACCCAGAACTAAACCAAAAGACAGAGGGGAGAGGTCAAAGACAGAGAATTCTGATGAGACAGCAGAATGCCATTATGACCTAGATAGCAGGGGCCAGAGGAATACCTGTGTCATAGGTCTTCAGGAGTACATGGTAGACACAGGGGCCATGATAAACCTCATAGTATAAGCATTATACTGTGAGGCTCTTTCTTAAAGAATCCTACTCTCTCATACTCTCTGCCCATGACTTTTCAATGTAGAAGCAGAAGGTAGATTACAACATGATTCACTGCATGCAAATGTAATTTAAAGAATGTGAGGCTACAAAAAGTGAATATTGAACTTATACATATTCACTAGGTGATTGATACAAGCAGAAATGAAGGAAGCACACATAGTAACCTAACATTTTTTAATTGATTTTAGAAAGAGGGAGAAATATCGATGTGAGAGAGAAATATCAATGACAAACTCACAGTCTTCCTGTAAGTTTATTATAGGGCTGAGTATTGGTTCAAAAGAAGTACAGCTGGATAATATTTCTGTTGTCAATGTGATTCAGGAAATGGACCTAGAATGATAGTGAATCATTATCTGAGAAACAGTTTTTTGTGATGCTGATCATCATATGGAAAGTAAAGCACATCTATCTACTATAAAAAAGATAGTGGGGCATCCACACCGGGAATGCTGCACAGCTCTGGGTGCCTCACCCCTAGGACAGCAAAAAAGGCCTGGACATTTTTCAGATAAAAGGAAGGAAAAGTGTTCACATTAGGGTAGATAATGTCTGAATTCCTTCACATTGGGAATGTGAAGGCTGGTAGATTCTGCGAGCTCCACTTAGACTAGAGGGAAGGATATTAGTTATATTAATAAAGATTGTATTGCCAGAATGACAGAATTATGAGTAATCCTTTTGAAACCTATAAGAACATAGTTTTGGACCAAATTCCTGAAAGAAATTTCATAAAAGTAAAGCAGATTGAAAGTTTCTGGAAAGATGACCAGGTTGAGGGTATAAATATGGTCCAGAGAGTGGAGCTAATTCCATAAGTTTAACACCTCTATTATAGATGATTAGCGAAAGAAAGGAAGTTTGGGCGACAGCTCCCTGACTTCTGAACATGGTGTGAGAAGGTGGCAACCTCCCACGAAGGCACAACATCATCAGTGTCTTGGGACTGGGAAAAACTTCAAAGGCCCAGTCACTATAATTAGTGCCCTGGTGCTCAAATCCCTTCTATGTCTCTATCAAGTGGTCATTCAGTGACAAGGGCCTTACTACTTCCTAAGGAAGCTCTACTGTCTCTATCTCCATCCAGCTAGGAAGTCCTTATGGTGAGCTGAAGACATTTTGGGTGATTTCTGGCCCTATCCTTTGGCAAAGCTAAACTAAACCAACATTCCTTCCCTATGCATCCTTGACTTGGGATAACATCTCCAATATTTATTGCAGTAGCCTCCCTCCTCTGACCCTGAGCCAAACTCTGTTCTTCATAAAGTATGTACTTTCCTAGTTGAATTTCTAGTTTCCCTCCCAAACTCTGTCCTCTGTCTGTCTCTCAAATCTTGGCATTATTCAAGACTCCTAACTCAAACCACTTCCCTCCTTACTCAGGCTACATGAACTTATCCACCTAAAGCTTCAACAGCTCCCTAAATGCTGATGGTGCCCATATATTGATCTCCAACTTAGATTGTCTCCCTGTACTCCAGACCCATTTATCCAATTGCATGACATCTCTGCTTTTCCCAAACCTGTACATCCTCAAGTGTCACCTGTCTTGATTCAAGGTATCATGTACTCAAACAAGAAGCCTGGTTGCACCCCAGCTCTCTCTTCTTCCTTCAACTCCTCCATCAAGTCAGTTACCCATTCCTAAACATCTCTCAATTTATTGCTGTTGTAATTCAAGTCCTTCTCCTTTCTCAACAATTCCACTGTGAATACTGCCTTGCCTCCAGGATCTCTCCTGCTCCATTCCATCCTTCATATGAAGGTCATGATTTTTCAAAGGTGCCTCTGCTCAAAACCATTTACTGGCCTTCTCAGCACTTTTAGGATAAAGTCTTGATCTAGCTCCTGCCTACCAACTCTGGCGTCACTGCCTGCACTTTCACATGTATAGACCCTGTCACTACTGAGTAACATGCAGTTTTCCAGGGGCAGCATGGTCTTCCCCCTTGACAATTTGGTAGAAGCTTTTCCTTTGGCCTCAAGTGCTCATTCCCTTCTTCTTTGCCTGGTAACCTCCAACTCATTCTTTAAGATTTCTCCCAAACGCTGGTCTCTTGGGAAAGGCTTCTCTGATATCTTGAGACTTAATTTCTAATTCTTTCTCATCATGTAGTACCACTCCTCTAACATATCTGATCTGAACTGTAATTATTGTTTCAGTATTGTATGTATCTTTATTTTGTGGGCACTCTTTGAAAGCAGTAAATGGGTGTGACAGCTGAGGGTCAGCTAGCATATCAAGGTGTTCAGTTAGTTTTTAAATGAATGACTAATATACACACCATGTCATGTTTTCTCACCTGTGTACTTTTGCTCAGCATCATAGTCTCTCAGGCCACTCTACTTTCTATATGTTAAAACCATACCAACTTCATTGACCTTCATATGCTTCCTTCACCTTTATTTCTTTCCTGATCACCACTGAGAAGCAATCCACCCAGTGAACTCTGACCACTCTGGAAGCACCTATTACATAGTGTCTATAGGCACATCTCCTCTTTCTCAGAGACTATCTTATGCTCCTTGCCCACAGTAGGTTCTCAAAAAAAAAAAAAAGGTCAGTGGATGATTGATTGGTAGGTGTTAGGACCTTTGAAAAACCCACCGATGGACACTAGAGTAGTTTGTCTACAATTCAGACAAGAAGCTGAGTATTTCCTGTAGACACAGTGCCCACACTCAGCAGGTACTAAAGAGACCTGCCGACAGTGCCTGTGCTGCAATCAGAAGCACAGATGTTACGATGATGAACTTAAGTACCTCAAGCTGAGCCAGCAGAAAGTAGAGCTAATACCATTCCTGAGGCTCACACACCACAGCACCAGCCTGTTAGAGGTAGCCCTGTCCCAGCCCTGGCTTAAATAACACAAAAAATGTAGCAGGAGACCAGTTACAACAGGACTAGAGGAGTATGCCAACTATTCAGGACCTTTGCTTATCAGCAATCCTCAGCTTATACTGAAGTGTCACAGGTTACCTCTTTGCTCACATATAACAGAAGAGCCTGAACGTTACAAGGCCAGGGAAGGGAGAGGACTTCCCTCTGGGAAGAGCAGCCATAAGGAGATATGAATATGTTCAAACAGAGAATGTGAACATTCTTATATTAGAAAATATGAGTAAATAATCATAAAAGAATAGTTGGCATAATGGAAAGAATAGACTGAGACCAAAAGATCAGGTTTCTAGTCCTGTCTCTGGCATTGACCTTGATTTTCTCGTGTACTGTGCACTTGGGGTGGGCTCTAGATCTCAATATTCCTTCCAGTGCCGATATTCTTTAACTAGGAACTTTCCACCCACCCAACATTTATTTGTGGCCTCCACCAAATAGTTGCTGGCAGCAGTGGTTTTGGGAAGACAGCTGGTGAGACATTTAATTCTGTTTTCTGATAACCTGAAGCTCTTATTTATTTTTACCAATAAATACGGAATTGGGGAGAAGACAGCCTGGGAGGCAAATCTGCCCTATACACATAATGGACCGGTCCTCTTTCTCTAATAGCTGAACTGAAGGAACCTGGGCCCCTCTCCCCAAAACTTACTCACTTTGGGAGTGACAGGACTCTCGCAGTACAGCAGCTTGCTTCCGTCATCTGGCTGGGCTGGTGTTGTAGGACACTTGGGTGGTTCTGACACCAGGGTCCCAAAACCAGGCTCTGGACTCACTTTGGCTTTTTCCTGAAATGTGTGGAGTCCGTGTGCGTCCCTCAGGGGTATCCTGGGTGGTGTAAACGGGGCCTCTGAATCCTTGGATTCAGACTGCTCTGGGGTGAGGGTCTGGGCCTCCCAGCCCTCCGGTGCTTCCTTCTGCTCTTTGTTCTCACTCTCTTCCTCAAAACAGGAGAAGTTTAATTTCTGCTTCAGTTCTTTGTTAATACTGTTGTCATCCATCTCAGCCAAAGAACTTTACCCAGTAGGCGAGAAGGCCTGTCAGAGGGGCACAGTATCAAGATGCAGAAGTCGGGAGAGAACTGAGGCCAGCCAGTTCCGCAGTCCTAGCCTGCCTTTCCCGCTGCTCACTCACCGCTGCATGAGGCACACCCTTCATTTTCTCCCTTAAGGACCACGTGTCCTAAGATCTCAGCTTGTCCGTATTTCCATTCTGATTAAAGAAAGTGCCAGCAATGCTTTGAGTAATTAAATTCAATTTATGTTAAAACTCTTGTGGACATCACACATAGTCTCCCTGTACCCATGTGCTACAAGTTCATTATTGGAAATAAATCATTTTCACTCTTTCATACCTGCCATTTAGAAATCTCCCCTTCCCCTATCTCCCACTCCCTACTGATGGCTAAAAGGAGTTCATTAGAATTCAGCATCACCTGGGTGTAATAATGATCTTTAAGCAGCCTCTAACACAGTGGTTCTCAACCTTGGCTGCACATTAGAATCACCTGGGAATCTTTTTAAAATCCTGATTTCTGGGCCTCATCCTCCGGAAATTCTGTTCCTTTGTTACCAATGTTGTGGCCTCACCCCATAACAAAGAAATAGAATTTCCGGAGGATGAGGCTCAGAAATCGGGATTTTAAAAAGATTCCCAGGTGATTCTAATGTGCAACCAAGGTTGAGAACCACTGCTCTAACATTTCAAGGCTGGAGTTCATCTCCCTAATGTACACACCTTAGGTCTTTGCCAGATACACCTTCCTTAATTTCAGCCCCCCACAAAGCCCCAGCCACCCTCCCACCTCCAGGTATTGACAGTTAAAACTTTCAAGGAAACATACAAATTTTCAAACTGACAAAAGAAAAGCTAGAAAGATCAGTAACACATAGAAGCAGATATGTATCCCTTGAAAATGGCAATTACTTCGGCCTCCAAAGCTTTATTTTGTACAAACATGTTTTTTTGCAGTTTGGATATGTTTAGCATACATTATTCAATTTCTGTCTCAGAGAGGCACCCCCCCCCCCCAACCAGGAAGTGTAAAAACTCTTTGAAGAAAAAAAAAAGTCACCCATACCACTTTATAAGAGAAAGTATGTGAAAGGCAGTCCATGAAAAAAGAAAATGATGTACTGGAGCCCCTCCATAGGCTCAGGTAACACACAGGAGAGTTATTTACATCATAAACATGGGCCCAAAGAGAGAGAAGTCCTGAGGGTGAGTCTGATCTTGTCCAAAGCAAACTTAATTTCCCTTCTCTTGATGATCTTTGGTTCCCCTTTGCCTGTCACCCATTTCCACTTTCTCTCTTCACCAACCCCTTCACCACTTCTCTCTGTCACTCCTTTCCCGTTTCCCACCTGCTTGCCCCAAACCTCACAGCAGTCGGTTCTCCACCCAATAGCCAAAGGGATGCTTTTTAAAGGATCCTGTCCTCAGATCCTCTGGGGCCTCCCATTCCACTCAAAATTCACAGCCAGCCCTGGTACCAAGGCCCCCAGGGCCTTAGGATCCACCACACAGCCTGTCTGATTCCTTACACATCCGGCTCTAGACTCCTTCCTGTTCCTCCAGATGCCAGTCTCCCCCACACGTCTCACTCATTGGGCTTCCTCCAGGTGTCCTCTCAAAGGTTATTATCAGAGAGGTCTTCCCAACAACCCCACATAGTCCCCATCACGCATCCTCTGACCCCTTACCCTGGGTCACGTTTCTTCACAGCACTTAGGGCTATCATATATTACATATCTAAAGGTTCATTTAAAAAAATCCCGTCTCCCCTATCCCATCCTCAATAGAATTTAAATACCATCAGGACAGGAACTTAACTCTTATTCAATGTTCTAGCTCCATTACCTGGAACAGGGCCTGACACATAGTAGGTGCTATGAATCAAGTTGCATGCTGTACATTGTATGTATCCTCATGATGGACACTATCATCAAAGGAATATCTTTTATGAGCTTTCAGATTTTTAAATTTCAACTCCAATACAAATTTCAGAGGCCTGAAAGGCAGGGATATGTTGATTTTAAGTAACTCAGTAAATTTGAATATATATTCTATTTTATCAATCCCTACACCAACCTAAGCTCAGCCTCTGAGGTATATAAGTTACTGTCCTTTCAACACCAACAAGTGCCTGCAGCCCAGAAGATCTGGGAGAAGTGAAGAGAAATATCAGTGCAGATGGGGCTGTTGTTGCAGCTACTGTGGTCTAATGCATGAAATAGATGTTAGGAAGTCGGGAATCCGAGACAGATCAGGAGCCCCAGGATGTCTCTGGATGGCTTTGGGTCCGCAGTATCATGGGACAGGTAAGGGTGTTAGTCCCTAAACCATTAGGAAGATTATTTTCTTCATCGCCTCCACTCACATTCTTAATTTCACCCTGTTACACCTCAGCTTGTCCCGGAGTCTGACCTCCTATCTGGACCACTAGTGTTTGCCCTGGTCAACTAATTATGCAGGCTGATCATGGAGGTGCAGAAACCTCACCTGGTAGGAAGACTGTTCCTGGCAGAGAGAATAAAATGGCCTAGTTATATAAATTGGTTGATTCTTCTCCAGTGAATATGTAATTCTTGTGCCATTTTAAGGGAAAAAATATCTCACTTTTTTGGAGGGAAACTGGATAAAATGATTTTAAATTTCAAAAGGAAAAATAATCTTCAAAGAAATAGAAGATTTAAAAAAGAGTAGACTACCTTTCTCAGAAATAAAACTAAGTTGTACCTGCATATTGATTTTTAAAGTATATTTTTATTAATTTCAGAGAGGAAGGGAGAGAGAGAGAGAGAGAGAAACATCAGTGATAAGAGAGAATCATTGATCAGCTGCCTCCTGTACACCCCACAGTGGGGATTGAGCCCACAACCCTGGAATCAAACCGTGACCTGCTGGTTCATAGGTCAACACTCAACCAATGAGCCACACCAGCTGGCTACATGTATATTATTTTATGCACATATACTTAGTGTGGTGGTAGTGTAAGAATAGACAGGTCAATGGTGAAGAATACATAGGTTAGTAAATATCAGTAATTTAATGTTGTTTTTTAAAAGGGAATTATAATCATAGGACCCAGAAGGTTTTTTTATAAGTGGTGTAGCAGTTATTGGGTAACTATTCAATTAAAAAAAATTTAGAGTCTTATTTCATATCACATATAAATATTGAATAGATTAAGATATCAAATGTGGAAAATCAATAAGTAACTAAAGAAAGAAAATAAAAGTGAATGTTGGTCAAATTTCTGGGTGGAGACCAACTTCCAAATGTTAAAGCAACACAAGAAATCACCAAAAGAATTGCTGACTTTGACTACATAAAATTTAGAGCTTTAACATTTCATCAAGCAGTTAAGCAGCATTAAGCTACACAGTAAATTGGAAATATTAACAAAAATTATGCCAGCCAAAAGATGAATATTCTTAGTGCATACAGAAGTTATGCAAATGCAAATTGATAAGAAGAGCATCAAGACCCCACAGGATAGGTGAGCAAAAGGCATCATGATCAGACAATGCACTGAAGAGGAACCACAGTCAATAGCATATACTTGGAAACTAAGATTAGATGCAGTCACAAAACATTATCTTAAAGCAAAATGTCATTTACATCTGAAAAATTTGCAAAAAATATTCTAAGTGGCAATATCTAACTTGGACGGGAATGAAATTAAATTGATGCCCTTACACACTTGTGAGTCAACAATTTGGCAGTACAACCGAGAACCTTAAGTACATGAATACAGTTTAACCCGGTGTTCCTACCTCTGGCAGCCTGTCATAGTCAGCAACCTCAATGGTTGGTTGCATTTGCCCTGCCTGTCACCCCTCATTCTTGATTTCATTTACTGCTTGCTAGCTGTCTTCCCTGCCAGGCTGTAAGCCTGATGAGAAGGGACGTCTGTCTTCTCCACAGCAGGGCTTGGCGTGTAATAGGTATCTAGTGTTAGTTCAGAGTGGAATTTGGCCAATGCTTTAGGCACAACAAAAAAAGAAAGGGCTTGATTTTCCAACAATGAGAGTGAGAATGGTTAAGTAAACTTTCCAAACATACGATGAAAACCATTAAAATAATGCATATAAAAAGTTCTAACAGTATAGCAAAATGGTCATGTTCTGAGGTTAAAGAATAAACATTCAAATTATATATAGTATGATTTCTACATGTAAATATAGAAAAGAAAAATATCTAAATCTATCATGTATTCTAAGATATACCATTATTTACCTGCAACTAAGAATAAAAAATGCCCATGATGGGTAATCTAAGATGATACACTGTATACAGCTGTGACAAATAAACCTCCCATGCGGAGAGGGCCAGAAACTTGCTTCTCTCCATTTTGCCATTGGGTGAAGGGAGAAACAAACCCCACCAAAGAATTTGAAATATAATCCAGGGATCACCCTAGCTTGCATTTTAAATTCATACTACCAGCGTGGTTCGAAGAACCTCAAGCAGAGAATTTAACTCAAAATAGTCTCAGCTTGGTGGTGTCTCCAGATGGCTAACAAAGGCAAACACAGACCTCCTCTGTGAGACCGGGACCTCCGTGGGGCCTGCGGCAACTACAAGTCACCATAGCAATGTGAACAAGTAAACATTTTGCATCCTAGAATTGATGAAGTAGGACCAGTAAAATCTTAACAGGGGCCAACTCAGTGGTGAGATTATAGATCAAAAATACTTTAATGTATTTTATATACACGTTATTCATTTTTAAATATATGTTTATTGATTTCAGAGGAAGGGAGAGGGAGAGAGAAAAACACCAATGATGAGAATCATTGATTGGCTGCCTCCTGCATGCCCTCTACTGGGGATTGAGCCCCAACCCAGGCTTGTGCCCTTGAGAACCCCATATGTCAAAATTTAAAATAAAATTATTTTACTTTCCACATCCTAAATATATCTTCATTATATAAAATACACCCTGTAAAATAGATCCTCATTAACATTATCCTAGGGTCTCTGAATGTGCATGCCCTTCATTCCTTCTTGCTCCTTACACTCATTTTCCACCAGAGCTATTCTAATAGCTAAATTCAATGAGTTCCCTTCCTACCATCTTGTGAAATTCAGTAGACACAGAGAAGATAAATCTCATGGTCAGACTGTGAATGTGTTAAGAGGGGTGTCATCATTAACATTTTGAACACCTATTATGTACAAACTACTAGGTTAAAGCTGGCTGGAGGGGTCAGTTGTACAGAGGTATACATCTCTACTTTCATTCATTTAGTTGACAAATACTTGGTAAGTACCTGTTAGCAAGGCAGTGGGAATTTGAAGCTAGACATGATGGCTGGTGAGCTAGAACCCTCATGTAAATGAAATATGGAAAAGGCTCTAGGTTTAGAGTTTGGACATTTTGGCCTCCTGTTTAAATAGAAAATTGATTGGGATGAGTATTTTGAATTTTTTTCCTGGCATATATACAGCTTGAGGATATTAAACTAAGGGATGCTGGGGTGGGAGGCTGGACTCACACAAAAGACCAGGAAAGGAAAGACCCTCCGGGGAGAAAGAGGAAAGTCACACCTAAAGCTGGTGTCTTTGGAACTTGATGAAGGATTTTCTAGAACTCCTTTCTGTATTTAAAATAACATCTTGAATGGCTCAACCCTTGGACAAATCTGGTGGCTAAACCACTCTTTTACGGGAGGGGAAAATAACTAAGAATAGCTATTAAAATAATGAGAAAAAACATGGTGAGGAGGGGGACTTGTTCAGATACCTAATTCATCCAAGGTTCAGGAGGGTGGGCAGCTTGCCCCTCTCAGAAGGATCCAGTGGACTCATGCTAGGTGTTACCCAGAGGGCATTTATGAAGAGTCTTGTCCTGTGTGCCAGAGATGCAGTGATAATATGATTTAACCCCTCCTCCCAAGGAGATGCTCAATGACTGCCCAAGGCTGCTACTTCAGGCTAAAACTATGACAGAACAATAATCTATTTATGCAGCATCCCCCCCCCCAAAAAAAAGAATAGAAACTGCTTTAATCATTTATAGATTTAGTTCAACCT